GCTTAAGGCCGCTATCGAAGCATCCTGGGCCTCCAGAACCTCTCAGCAGTGCCACAGGCTGGTTGCCTCCATGCCACGCCGCATTGAAGCAGTCATTTCTGCAAAATGATTCCCCACCAAGTACTGAGTGCATAACTGAACATAATTATTTGAAGGTTGACTTTTTTTGTATTAAAAACACTTTTCTTTTATTGGTCGGATGAAATATGCTAATTTTTTGAGATAGGGATTTTTGGTTTTTCTTTACTATTTTTTGCCAAAATCGTCAATATTAAAACAATAAAAGGCTTGAACTACTTCAGTTGGTGTGCAATGAATCTAAAATATATGAAAGTTTAATGTTTATCAGTACATTAAAGGAAATAATGAACTTTATCACAATATAATAATTCTTTGAGAAGGACCATACAGTATTTTGTGCCATTTTGCAGCGTTACCTGGCTGCTCTGCACCACAATGTGTCAACAGTAATATTTTGTAGCCAGTTTTAGTTAATCGCGTGTTAAATAGCTTGTGGCTGTATTTATCTTCATTGTGAACACGACGAGTGATTATGGGTTTAAACTGGACTGTTTCAGTTTGTTTAATTCATCTTTTAAAATATCCAGCACAGTTAAAATTTTGAAAGTTGATAATCTTATAAATTTATGGTGGTTACTGAATCGATTGAATAATAAAAAACTATATTACCTTCATATTGTAACTGCTGGTTGTAGGTAGGAGGGCGAGTCCACAGTTCCATGTAAGTGGGTGTGATCACAGGTGGAGTGGTGAGAGCAGCAGGTTTACAGAGACAGGCTGGTCTGATGATTCAGGTATGTTGAAGCCAGCTGAGCAGGAGGAGACCTGAGAGTGTTTCAAGGAGGAGTGATGAAGACTCCTGGTCTGGCTCAACATCCATGCACTGCCTGAGTAGTCAGCTGCTGCACCACCTCTGGAATGCCCCCCTAACCCCGATGTTTCTGTCAATACATATTGTTTTGTTTGTAACATTTGATTCCAGAGATTATTGAGTTTAATGCTGGTTTAATGAGAACTGATGGAGAGAACGTCGGTTAATATCAATTATATCTTTGGTAAAAGATGGCAGAAATTACAGCGGGTAAAATAAGTATGGAACACTTCAACATTTTTCTCAGTAAATATATTACTAGAGGTGCTAATGACATGAAATTTTCACCAGATGTTGGTAACAACCCAAGTGATCCATACATACAAAGA